CACAATGCCACAGAAAGGCCAACTCTGATAAATACAAATATTGGATAACCTCCTTTTACTTATTATTTATCAGACTGCGGCCAAAACCGCTATTTAATTTACATCGCTTTGTACAAGGCACCCAGGACCAGTCCCTTGTAGTGGACCGTGAAGAATGCCCGGGTAAAGGGGTATACCACGAGGCCCGAAACCTTCTGGGCAGAAAGTCCACGCAGAAGACATCGTACTAGCTATCAATTTGTTTGGGAAAAGTTGGACAAATTCGAGACAAGCTTCAATTTTCAGTTATAATCAAGAGAGAAAAACGGAATTAGGAATGTAAAGAGAAAGTAACTTCATATCACATTTCCAAGAGGCAGTTACGAGTACTTGCTGTTTTATTTCACCAGTATTGACCCTATAAGTCGGGAAGTAGCAAGATATACAGTCCATTAAGTTCATGTCTGACGTCTAAGCCGGAAGCATCCACTGGGCCCGTAATCTCAGTCATCAAACACTTTCTTTAGACAGAAGACCAGTAACTGGTTGATTACTGTTAGGGCGCGAGACATAGGCGGCGCAAGGCGGTGTAACTAAAGCGCAGCCAGCAATACATATTACTGGATGAGCTTTAGTTGCAGAGAATTTTGAAAATTCTTTGATCTTTTTATATAGGACAGCTATATATATATATATATATATATATATATATATATATATATATTTAACCCTTTCGGTCCCAGTACTCACAATTGTGACGGTGACTTTGTCAATTTTTTTTAAAATTAAACAATCGCCATGAGCGAACGGGAACAGCGTCGCACGATCGTGCGTGTAGTTCGGTTTACTATGACAAAGAGCAGTGGAATTAATTACAATAATTTTGACTCAGGCGCCATTCGCCACCTAGCAAAAAATCACGTGTTACGCGCCAAAATTAAACATGCCTGTTTGTCACGTAAAAGTAAGTAAAAACTATATTGTTATTGCAATCATTCGTTTGACAAAAAGCTAAATTCTCGATAAATTATGTTTTTATTCGTCCTTTCGCGTATTTAGTTTGTCTTTTTCGAGGTTACTTTTAGATGTCACAATCGTGAGGGTTCGGGCCCAACGTTGGTCAGATTAGTGATTATTTAATACCAATTATTTTATGTTAAAACCCTCTTTTTTTACTTTTTAGCCTATTTGATACATCGTTATGGATAGAAATAGCTTGGCTTTTGACTCTGGTGCTATAATGGATCAACTGGCTGACTGGGATTTGGGCGAGGACTTGGACGATGATAATGATTGGCATCCACCTGGTGAGCTACCTAGTTCTAGCTCTGATGACGAAGACGAGCAAGAAGCAAGAGATTCAACAGTAGCAAGTCCATCATCGCCGAATAAATGGACTCGCAGACGATTCGTCGCTAAACCCATACCTGCACTGATCTTGGAGTCGACGGAAGAGGTACTTACTCCAAGTGAATACTTTGATAGGTACTTTACTGAAGAAATTTACGAGTTATTAGTATTAACTGCTTCAACTGCCATTGGAGCCCAGCCATTGCATAAGGTCCAACGTTACGATATAATTACAAAATCATACATCGAAGTAACTTGCCCTGATATGATAAAACATACAACGAACACATGGGAGGCCTAAACTTCAGCGACTAAATGATGGAGGTCTACAGATCATGGCATAAAACTCGCAAATGGCCAATCAAGTTAATAATTCATTTGTTTGACTTGGCCATGGTGAACTCTTGGTATGAGTATCGTCAATCATGTGACAGAAATAAAGTTTAGAACTCTAATATCATGGATTTTCAGAACTTTAAAATATGTGCCTGATTGGTGGTTGGCGGTTCAACCAGAAAACCCACCCGAGAAGAATTCGAAGAAATGACAGAGATGCCTTCAACATCCCATTATCAACCCGCACCTATTCCAACTATAGATAAACGTCTCGATGGGTATAACTATTGACCCGTACGTGATTCTCTAAAAGCTCCTCTCTGTTGCCGAGTAACAGGTTGTACAAGCCGTTCAATAGTAAGGTGCACAAAATGCAATGTATATCTTTGTAGTACTAAAGATAAGCATTGTTTCTATGTTTTCCATAATGAAAAAAATTCTTTTTAAATATTTTTCTCATGTCTATTCCTTCTAGTAATTATAAACTGATGATCTCGATTGTTTGCCTTGTTCCTAGTTCTTAATTTTTTATTATATCTAATTTCGCCAAAAATATAGCTAAAAGAAGCGTTATATTTTTGTTACTTATTAACAATAAGAAATTAAGTTAATTTTGATTATAAAATAAATAATTATTCCTAATTTTTAATTTTATTTGAATATTGTAATTACCCTCACGATTGTGAGGCCACCATGCTCTAGTTGGGCCCGACGTAGTACGATCGTGAGTATCGTGGAAAACAGTTTTCCCATTTTCCTAGATTTTTTAAGACCCCATCTTTGTAATGTACGCATGTTACTTGCCCTAAATCAGTTCTGTAATATTCGTTAGGTAGCGCCGTCACGCCACGGGTCTGAAAGGGTTATATATATATATATATATATATAGGACAGTCATCTCAACTCATGCCACTTTTGCGGTTTCAAGTCCTAATTTAATAGAAAACTCTTTCGTTCTTTTAAATACAGATGAAGAAGAAGTTGAACGGATTATCATTGCTTTAAAAAGATAAAGCTGTTGTATGGGATGGTATCTCCAATGGTCCTCTGAAAACGTACAAAGACATCCTAGTGCTAGACTAGTGAACTACCTTGAGCAAAAGAATTTATTTTCAAATTTCCAGTTTAGTTTTCGTGCAAAAAAATGAACATCAAATGCTTTACTTTCGGTTACCAACTTCATTACGCAAAACTTAGATAGAGGTAGAAAGAGTTTAGCCATCTTTCTCGATCTAGAGAAAGCTTTTGACACCATCTCAATTTCACTGTTGCTCTAAAAGCTTGAGTATATTGGAGGGCAAGGCCGTCGACTTACATTATTTTCTAGCTATCTCAGTGGCCGATGTCAGTGTGTCAAATTGTCTAATAATGTCATCAGCTCTTATTCTCCTGTCTTTTTTGGTATTCCTCAGGGCAGTATACTTGTTACGACCCTCTTTCTCATTTATTTATTTGATTTGTGTAACCTTAATCTTCACAATGGCAAGATAATTATATTTGCTGATGACACAGCTCTCCTTTTCTCTGGAAGCACCTGGGAGGATCTTTTCCGGCAATCTCAGGTTGGGTTTAATATGGTATGTGCTTGACTTAGGGAGAACTTACCAACTCTACGTTGTAAGAAAACTAAGTATATGCCTTTTGCAATCCGTACCTCATCTTTACCTGGAGACGTGCATAAAATCATTGCTGTTTTGGAGAAGACTAATAGTATCAAGTCAAGTATCTTAGCATATTATTTGACAACACCTTAACATTCCATTCTCATATTAAAACACTGTGTCGTAGATTGCGCAAATTATCCATTTTAAACCTTACATTAGATTTGTATAGAATTAGCGAAGTTATTACAGATCGACAACTATTTGTGCTACATATAGTTTTAAGACAACATACAATTTCAAAAATAACTCAAAAGGAACATTGCCGCCGTAATCATCTGGTAGCTCAGTCAGTGCCTTGCTTCACGTCTTTTGCTAGGAAATTCTTCACTTTTTTGGGTCTGTATTTATATAATAAATTACACCAAAAATTGTCTACTTATAAAGTCAACAGATGGTCATGTAAATTAGACTCGTGGAATATCTTCAGACTCTTTCACACACAGATACTGAACAATTACTCCAAATAATCTCATAAATATTCACAAACATACATACAGACATGCAACAGTCACAAACTCTCATACTTACGCTACAAACATACATCATTTTTATTTTTTAGTTTTGTTTTTTATTTTTTATTTCTATGTATCCAAACTGATAAATCGCTCGATATAATATTATTTCTAACCATAACATATGTGATCTCTTTTTTTGGGAACAGTATTTGTAATAGCTTAATAACAAAAAATAAGAAAAAAGGCAATCAACAGATCGCAGAATAATGAAATAGCCAAAAACAGAACGACATTTGTATACCTCGCAGAGCCGAATTCCCCAACTCTTTTGTCAAGTCAAAACTGCAGAGTTTTTTTTTAAATTTGTACATTATTCAACTAACTTTATCTCCATGTACTCATAAACAGTTAACTTCGCACATACTACTTACCGACGGCAGTTCAGGGACAGGCGGGCTATAATTTAGCACGTGGCTATCGTTCTCCTTCTCTCTAATCTCCATGGACTTAATTTTGACCTCAGCAGTTGGAGATTTGGCGGGAACTTGGTCGTAGACGGATTGTCGCTGTTTTGTCGCTTGAATAATGGTTTGAAGTAGATTTTGATTCGTAAAAGTGATGCGATTTTTTTAATTAAGTGTCCGCGCGTGTGAATTATTAGAGAAAACGACGAAACAAGTGCTTTTGTGTCGATATAAACCTCAAGTTATTTTTGATCTCTTGGGCGCCTCATGAACCTACTTGAACTGTCGTCATCAACTGTCTGCTAGCTTGAGTGTCGTCAAAACCTCCCAAGGGCTTCGCAATGTGACGCATCAAGATATTGTGAAGAAAAAGAATATAAAATGGAGATTCCGAAAGAAGTGCTAGGCTCAGAAAGAGTAGAACCCAGAGCCGTAAAGCCAGTTAATAAAAAGAAAGTCAAACTGTCACTGTCAAAGTCAAATTGTACTTGTTTAGCACCATTATACTTATATAGTTATAGCTCAGTGAACTCGGATTACTTTCTGTGGTAGTTAATAATTTTAATACCAGATCAGTAATTAATTCTTTCAGTTGAGCGCGAAATAGTTTAGCTTCGTTGTTTTGTCCTTTATATGCTTTTTTATCGAACTCAGATCTAAACTTTTCTGTGTGCTTAGTGTCTGTGATGTTCGGAAAATAAATTAAATAAACATCTTCACTATATTATGTTATATTTGCCATAAAACACACCATGGATACTTTAAGGTAAATATATTTAAAAATTATTGTTTATTATGCCTATAGGTAATCTTAAAGATGTATATTGTTTCTAAAGTTATAATTAGTAACCGACGTACTTAGAATTGATCGAAGCCTAAGTTGAGTGTCTGCTTTATTTGCAGGTTTTATTTTGTGACCTGGAATGTGGCCACGAAATCTCCGGGTCAAGATCTAAATTCCTTGTTGGACTTTCCATCACAGTATAATAAAAATAAGCCTTTACCGGATTTCTATGTTATTGGGTTTGTAAAAAAAATTATACTACTAATATAAATATGTATTAAAGTCAGTTTTATCAATAAAAAGTGAGCGATACAAATAATTTGCATTGAAAGGTAATACAGTATGATCTTACTAATTCGGCACTATTAAAAACCACAGGGGGCCAGATTATCAGAATGATCGGATTTCTGGATTATAGAGGAAAGATCATAATGTATAAAATAAAGCATTTCATAGAGAGAACACATAATGTAATTATATAGTTTTAAAATAATCCTTAACTAAGGTCTGCTTTTCTGCAACTTGTAGTCCTTGGTTACAAACTTTTTCTCATATGTTTCAATGAATTATAATATCTTTGGAAGATAAGATGTTTTCTTCTGCCCATGTCATGCAGGTATTGAAACAATTAAATAGGTAGATTATCTACAGGACCCCATTCTTCTGTTTCTGATACAGCATTTATTGTAGGTCATAACCATTCCAGTGGTATTTGAACACGGCATGAATGTGATTCTATCTTAACTCACTTTACAACCTGGTGCACTTGCTTCTTTAGAAGATACAAATGTATTATTGGGCAAGAGTTACTATTCTCACTTCAAAACTACAGGTAAATGCATATGAATGAGTAAAGTTTTGAGGTTACACTGCTAAACCACGACAGCCAGCGACAAATAGCGACCGTAGCGCATAGGCGTAGAGGGGCGTGGGTGGAGGGTGCCGGTTTGTTGGACATGTCACTCTATTGAAGTGCCGGATTAGAGAGGTTATACTGTAATAGCTGTTGTGTTTATTTGTCTGACATTCCGTTCAGTCAGAGATTATTAAACTCATCTTTTATATCAATTTTACAATGAGGCGTGGGCCCTTTCAAAATCAACTATTTTTCAGCACCCCCATTTTTATTCACTCCTAAAACGTAAAAACCATATCATTACTTTAATTAATTTAGTTATGGTGTGGTATATTAGTTTTTTCTGCTGTTTAAATTTACATTCTAAACTAGATATTATTGTCAATGAAAACAATCAAAACGCAACTTTATAATATTTAGAATATATTTTAATCAAATTAAAAGAAATAATATAGATAGGTAATCAATTTTAGTTTTAAACTGATCTAATGAGATAGATGAATTTGATGATTTTTAAAAAGTTTGTTGATATTAGGTTAGATTTTACTCAAAAACAGTTGTAAGTCTCCATGTTTGGTAACATGCAAACAATTTTTTTTAGTAAGTAGTGTTGTCACTGTGCTAAATCCACATTCACACAAATATGACGATGGGAATGCTATCAAAAATCATTGAATGATCAACCACAATCCAGGGTAAAACTGCAGGATTGTAGCCAAAAGTTCTAGGTAGCCATTTTTGAATTTGATTTTTATTTTCTCATTTGTTGTCAATTCTATAAGTTCTTCCAGTTAGCTTAGTTACTGCTATATGGAATAAAATGGAGTCCCTGGCGGGAGGTATGGATTGAGTTTAGTCTCTCCCAGCAAGATTACCTGGATGTTGTTGGGTTGTTGGGTGACTGTGCGGAGTTCATGCTGTTTATGCTAGATTCCGTCAGGGTTTCAGTAGGAGGCACAGGTTACTGTCCTCCGTAATGCCGAGCTAGTAGTTTTGCAAGCGCATTCATCACGGCGGTGATGGGATCGGCCCTGGCTCTTATATCAGCCAGGACCTGAGTGCCGACCTTGATCGCAATGCCAACTAGACATTGTATGGCGTCTGCCGTTTCAAAGCCAGTTAGTGGTGTTCTAGATGTTGTTGGTACTGTGATAGTCAGTTCTTGGTCTTGGGTAGAGTGAGCTCTATGATTAGAGCGGGCTCTATTTTCTTATAGAGCCCATTCTGCTATACCTATTTTGGTTGCATGCTGTTCAGCAGTAACCTGCGCCTGGGCTATCGTTACTGCTGGGGTTGAGGTAGAGGTATGCTGCCCGAGGAGAAGGCTGCACCTTCTTCTTCTTCTTCCTCCGCTTCCTCTTCTTTGAGGGTTGACGCTCGTTGTCGTCATTAGCGTTTCCTCGCAATCCTCCACAGGACTGGGCAGCGGCGATCTTTGCGGTATGGTTTTTGGCGCAGTTAGCGCTTCTGGATTATTCCTCTCTACCCCTAGGGCAGTTGCTTGCTATATGGTCCCCGGCACAGCGAACATACTTCACTGGCCTGAAGCTTGGCTGATGCATGGCTAAAGGCCTGACAGTGGTGGCGTTGTGCCAGACCCGGTCATCCTTGTCAAGCCTCTATGACTACTCCTTTCATGAAAAGGAGTTCGTCGATTTGGTAAAGCTGGTTTAGCCACTCCAGGCTCAGGTGGTCCAGCTGCGCGAAGTAGAGGCACCTGGCCCTGGTAGCCCCCTCTATTTTGGCTGGGCCCGTGTCAACTGGCAGTCCCCATATGCCCACTTTTGTGGGCTTCTATTTCGGGGTATAACAGTGCCAGGACAAGTCTGGAATTTTTTCCGTTAGTTCAATAAGGTACTTCTGTATTGTCCGGAATTCTTCCGGACTCTGTGATGTGAACCTAACACCTTTCCCGAATGGACGAGCGTTGGGCGCGTGTCCCATCTTCTTGTTTAGCAGTTCAAAGTGCTTCGCCCAATCCGGGAGGCATTTTGCTACTATCAGTAGGTAGTGAGCCTTCTCGGCTTCTTTGGTTGGAGGTGGCACCTCACCCTCCTTGAGTCTTGGTACTGCTGGGGTTGCTGCCAGTTGGGCATAGCTGGTTGAGGACCTTTGGCCATCGTCCGATGGTAAGCCTGATGGTTTGGTGTGTGGTGCGGGCGATGATTCTCCGGCTGACCCATACGACTCCTCTCCTCCTTACTCCAACTCGGCCGCGTCCATGATGTTATGGCGGTCAGGTGCGATGGGGGGGGGGGTTTGGCTTCTGTAGTGATGGCAATTTCGGTGGCGTATTTATTATTCTTAGCCTGTCCGGTTGGTGGTATTCTTCATCCTCAGACGAGTATGATGTCGATGAGTATTCCGACGACATGGGTGAACCGATGCATTGCTTCTTTTCGTGAAGCGACGCTTCGATCTCAGGTGGCGTGTGCCTTCGGGGCGTTTTTCTCGCCCGCTGTGGTAAGGGCGACGATTCCCGACCACTCGTACGCTCTGTTACGGCGGGTGTGAGCGCGGCGCTCGGTGCGGGTTCCTTTAGGCGACAGCGCCCTAGGCTAGCTAGTGCGCTGTCGTGATTTAATCCGCCTCTGCCTCCGGACTTGATGGCGTTACCTGAAGGTGTACTTCGGTGAATTATACTGGAACTCCTCGAGGATTAGAACTAGGTGTGCTGAGTTGGCCTCGTTTTGTTAGTTATGATATGAGACCTCACCTCTGAACATGATAGAGTGACCTGAAGATGTACTTTGGTGAATGTTAAATTAAAATACTGGTTATGACTAGATGAAAAACTTTTTCAGAATGAAATAAAATTGATGATAAAAAAATTATTAACGAGCCGGGTAAAAAAAAACTATTTTTTACGATAATGCCTGAGTACAAATACCTAAAATTTAAAGTAATATTAAAGTTGATTTCTGATCGTTTTAAGATAATACTCTAAAAAGTTTTTTCAATTAACAATAACAGGTAAAAAACCAAGTGATAAGTCTTTTTACTTTAAAAAGGTAGGAGCGTATACGATAGAAAAATATATAAATAATTTAGATTTTAATAAAGCACCGAGTTTAGACAAAATTAGAGTACAAGATATAAAGCAGGTAAAGAAAGAAATAAGCCCAGTATTAGCTAATTTATATGGGGGGGGGGGGGTTAAAAAAAAAAAAAGGGACCCGGACTATAGTAACTATAGACCAATTGCTATATTATCAGCAATAAATAAAATAGTAGAAAAAGTAATAGTGAATCAGATAAGTTGTTACTTAGACTGCGCATCTGATATTATAACATAATATCAGATGCGTAGCACGGGTTTCGTCGCGGACGCAGCACGGGCACTGCGCTTGCGCAATTCACCGACTATATCAACAACAATCTCAATGAGGGTAAGTTTGTCGCTGCTCTTTTTATTGATTATAAAAAGGCATTCGACAACCTGGAACACGAGGTACTACTGCGTGCGATGGATGAATGTGGTATCAGAGATCCCATCAAGCGATGGTTTAAATGCTATTTGCAAAATAGATCCTTATGTACATTGATAGACGGAGTAACAGGGGAAGATGTAAGCGTGAGTCTTGGAGTACCAACCGGATCGGTTTTCGGTCCAGTTGGGTACATTATGCATGTTAATAGTGTCATTAATGTGATAAAGCATTGTAAAACGGTTATGTATGCACATGACATGTGCCTAATGTACTCAACCATTAACACGAGTGATGCACAAAAATACATACAGGAGGACTTAGAAAACATAATTAAATGGGCACATGATAACGGTATAATTATAAATTTATCCAAAACAAACACTATGTATATAAGTTCACCCCACAGTAACGTCTTTAAGCAAGGTAAATTAAACATAAATATAATTGGTCATACATATGAGTGTCTACACCTCAATAAAGCTGGCTGCCAGTGCACAAACATAGATGTAGTAGATAAATACCGATACTTAGGCCTAACAGTAGATAGTAATATGAACTGGAAACTGCACGTCAATGGTGTGTGTAATAAATTGCAATTAATACTGGGTAGATTCTTTCACCTAAGCAATTTCATGAATCGAAAAGTCTTGTACATACTGTATTATGCACTGGCTGACTCGGTAATCAATTATGGATTGAGCAGTTATGGGCTAACATTCAAAACACAGTTAGATTGTATAAAACATTTACAGATTAGACTACTTAAGTATTTAGTAAGTAAAAAAGTAAAATTAGAGTGTAAATCAAATTATGACAAATTATTTAATATATGTAAAATACTTCCAGTGCATGAAAAGGTAGATTACCTAATTGCTTTATAGCAATATAAAATAAATAAATATAAACAACCTTTAAAGCATAAATATCGAACTAGGCAAGTTGAAAAGGATAAATATGTGATACCACACATAAGAAACTAATATGGTAAGAGAACTAGGCAATATTTAACTGTGTTAATATTTAATAGAATAGATTTTATGAGATACGTCCAAAGACATAAGCACTGTAACATTAAAGAAAAGACTGAAAAATACATTCCTATGAAAAGTATAATGTACTACCTATAATAAGTATTAATTAAAGATACAGATATTTATTGTAATAAATAAACCTAAGATAAATAAGTATGTATGTGACAAAAAATACATATTAATGTATAACAAAAGAGCGGCATTATCGCCAACAAACTGTTGCACAGTTTGGCGATGTTTATTATTATTTTAAATGCGTGTATTTTATATTAATAAAGATTAAAAAAATAAACGTAGCAGTTTTAAACAACTTTTGGAAAGCAGTTCTGGTTCCCTACTCGCCATACAAAACACAACGGCATAAAGTAAGTCAAGTGTGACTGCCGTAGAATTTAATTAAAAAAATTAAGTGGTATGAAATCAGTGGAAAAAAGAGTAACACTCTTTTGAGAAAGTGATGTCGTAGATGATCGACAGATATCGTAATCCATAGCCCAAGAACTGGGAGCCAAAAGAAAGTGTTTCAGGTTTTCTTTCACCTGAGTTTCATCCTACCCACCTGAGTTTCATTACCCACCTGAATTGAGGTCTAGATTGGGGAGGCTAGGGTTGTCGGTTATCTTATACGTAAGGCCTCAAGGCGGTGTGTACGACGTGTTGCCATGCGCCCCACTCGTATGAAGAAGGAGGGGAGATCTCCAGCTCCACTCCCTCAACAACTCAACGAGGAGGAACCTGTAAAGGCTACCGTTGTCGAGGCTGCGACAGTGTTCGAAGACGAGTGATGTGCTTGCCATTTATGTTCATAACCGTATACTTTTCAGCCCTGTAGCTTGAAAACATATTTCAAGGCAGCGGTGAAATGTTTCAGCATTTTAACGTCACCCTTGGTCTTACGTCTCTACAGTTAGATAGGTGTTGTACTTTGGCTCTGTGCTCATCTTAAATTCACTGTACAATGTCGACGGCTCTTTGGCGCACTAGGTTATCAGAATAAGTATAATAAGTAATTATTTGTATGGTCTACAAATAATTGTTCCGGGTCTGGATATTTGTCCTTGTGCAAGAAAAAAGAAAACAAAAAGACTTCAGCGTTTTAATATACTGCAGAAGTGAATGGATTTGGAAAGTGGAGTCGGAAAGGGACGTCCTAGGCAAAAGTTTATGGACCAAATTGGCGATATATTAAAAATGGGCCAAATTAAGAGTACCCTTAACCGACGAGCATGTATGTGTAGGTATATGGATGTGGAAGGAGGCAAGAGAGGTATGTCAGGATCGTGCTAAATGGAAGTCTAGTCTGTGCCTACCCCTCTGGGTGACAGGCGTGAGTGTTTATGTTATGTTTTATGTTTATGAACTTTTAATTATGTTAATGTTAGATGAACTTTTACTGGAGGGTCTAAGCAACGCCCTAATTCCGACAGATCTGTAAGAAATCTTGTTGAAGACATACATACAAGACAAAGTGGCAGATTGTACTCTTTGCACACATTTTTTTTTACAATATTTCGAAGGCCAATTATAAATTTAATAAACGATTTTATGTTTTTTTTTTATACGCAGGTTACAAGAGGTCAAATCCCAGCCTCAGAATATGGTAATGGACAGTTTGTTTAGTGACCCATGGACATCGACTTTTAATAAGATACTTTGTAGACAAGGCTACATTATTGCAAAAAACATAAGGCTGCAAGGAATCATGCTATTGGTTTACACTCAGATGAAACATGTTACACATCTGAGAGATATAGAAGCCCAGTACACTAAAACTGGTTTGGGCGGATTATGGGTGAGTGTCCATAAAATAATAAACATTATTATTGCGTATTAGTTATAAAATAACTTAAAATTTTCGATTTCAAATGAACATCGAATAAATATTTTTTTTGGTCCTAAGCTACCTGCATTCATCAATTTCCTGCCTGTCTTATCAGGTCTTCACCCTATTTTGTTTGGGGCCGTGATATACTTCGTTTATCGGTATGAAGCTGCTACTCAAGAACCGTTTTTCGGTCAACGCATTGCAACTTTAATTTACCGATCTGTTGGTTATTCTGGTTTTATTGCGGATATCTTCATTACGAATTCTATCACGTATTAAAGCTGCTCTTTATCCTGAGCACCTAAAAATTCCTGTACTCCAGCGACTAGATTATCATCTTGAAATCTTTGTACACTCAAACATTCGAAAATAGAAGGGATTATAGCACTGTCTCATGAATATACTCAAATATTTCATCAGTATTTCGAATGGCAGCATTGCATTAAGTCTTGGTGAATCAAATATCTATGAGAAAATTAGTCTTGGTCTTGGTCTTGCGATTTTTCCGAATAAGACTGAATACGCAGGATCAAGACCAAGACAAGAAGTATTTGATTGACACCAAGACCGGACAAGCAAGACCGAGGCCGATACCAAGATTGTCTTGGCCTTGATCTTGCTTAGCTAATCACTAAAAACAAATCAATCTTTGTGAGTTTGTTTGAAGACCTGCTAAATCATTTTGTTCGAATTTTAAATAATTTCTTCGTTTACCATTGTCATGATATGTCCCATTCAAAGGTTGTTGTTCTTGTTGATATTCTTCGACATTTAAATTAAGTGCTCCAACCTGCAAATGTGGTTATGGTTGAAGCACTAATGGGTCGGCTCGACCGGGGAAGGACCACGTTCTCACAGAACGCCAGCATAAATAGTAACTTAATACTGTCGTGTTTTGTATGGTGAGTGTAGAGATCCGGACACCCTTTTTTACTGGAAACTAGGCATTCTCTATATATCGTAATTTTCTTTATAACAGATGTTTGTTTCAGGGCAACAAAGGCGCAGTTAGTGTAAGATTTAATATTTATGGGTGCTCGGTCTGTCTAGTGAACTGTCACTTGGCAGCTCACGAACATCTGCTTGCCGAACGAATAAGTGATTACAACACTATAATAAAACAGCATTTCTACCATGTTGCTGAGACTAGTAATATCTTGTATCATGAGTAAGTACATTTAGTTCGTAAGATTACTTTTTATTTTTTAATCACCAAAACATTCTAAAAACAATGCGTTCCACTTTATAAATCAAAATAAAATTTTAAAATTGTTTTCCTTTGACTGCCAAAGTCCACAAAACGATAACTTCATTCACTTTAACTAACTTTCAAAAATGAATGACAATTCTTTTTTTTAAACTTCTTTTTAATAACCGTACCTACCACACACTAGATCTTCTCTTGTATTGTGAAGGCGTTTTACATACATAAATTACACAAGGACAAACATCCAGGCTCGGAATATTTGTAGGATATACAAACACTTCTTTCCACTGGGATTCGAACCTGTAACCCGCAGCGCCGCAACTGAATGCTTAGCCACTGCACCACGGAGTCGTCAAATTCAACTCAAATCAACTGTTTTTTTTTTAAATCAATTTACGTTTAGATATACGTATTTAATACGCAATACTTATCTCTGACGTTATAGTAATTAAATATTGGTTATAGGTATTAATAGTAGTTAAATATTGGTTTTCAACAGTAATATGTGATGAATACATGGTGTGTCGAATATATTAAATATGTAGTAATTTACGGTGAAAAGAATATAATAAATAATATGAGCACAATTGCCGAAACTAAATCCAAATTGGTTCCAATTTTATAAATATTAGAAAAGGTATTTATGCCATGAATGAGCATAAACATTTCTGAAATGAGAAAATAATATTTATTGATAAAATCTCTCTCGCTGTGGTACGCCGTATATCGGTGTAAGATAATCTACCACATTTCGTCCTGTAGTTTTTAACCCTCGACGAAAAAGAGGGGTGTTGGTGTCTCAAAAGTAAGTTCACATTTGCTTATCTTATTACGCGAAAGCAACTATTCTGAGGGGCGCGGGGGGTATGTCAGTCGGTAGTCTGGCTCTTGGGAATTTAGTCGCTATGGAGCGTTTCTCTGGTGCGGACCGTGCGTTGTGCGTACGTGAGTTTTACAAAAACGGTAATTCGGCGACTGTAGCGCGTAGAAAATTCTGCAGTATTCGACATATTCGTCACTTAAATGATGCGCCTAGCACTCGTCTCATTGCAAAATGGGTTGAGAAGTTTGAAGAGACTGGGTCAACTCTGGAGAAACCAAAATCTGGGCGACCAAGAACATCAAGAACAGCCGAAAACGTGGACAGTGTTACTCAGTCTATTCGAGATGATCCAAACCTCTCGATTCGGAAGCGTGCTGTTGCTTTAAATGTGCACAGATCTTCATTATGCCGCATTTTACACAAAGATTTAAAGCTGCACCCGTACAAAATTCAGTTAGTGCAAGAACTGAAGCCTCAAGATGCTGGTCAGAGGCTTGCCTTTGTAAATCAGATGATTGAGCGCTTTCCAACGTTCACCAACATCTTGTTTTCCGATGAAGCCCATTTTCACCTGAATGGGCATGTAAACAAGCAAAATTGTCGTTACTGGAGTGCAACCAACCCAAAACAAAAACATCAGAAACCGCTACATTCACCCAAAGTCACCGTATGGGCAGCGATGTCGGCGCGAGGAATTATCGGCCCTTACTTTTTGAAGATGGAAGGGGACGCACACTCACAGTGAATTCAGAGCGTTATGTGGAGATGTTAGACGAGTTTTTCGTACCCCAACTGCAAAACTTTCCTGGTTACAACCAAAGAACATGGTTCCAGCAGGATGGAGCAACTTCACACACGTCCAACAGATCTCTGCCTCGAGTTCGAGAAATTTTTCCGAACAAATTAATCTCCTGGCGAGGTGACATAAATTGGCCTCCACGGAGTCCCGATTTAACGCCTATGGATTTTTTCCTGTGGGGTTATGTCAAATCAAAAGTTTACGCTAATAAACCGACTTCCCTGGCACAATTAAAAGAAAATATCCGTCATGAAATGGCAGCCATCACGGAGACTACCTGCCGAGCTGTCATAGGCAATTTTAGTGCCCGACTAAATGAATGCCGAGAGCGCAACGGTTTACATTTGGACAATGTTATTTTTAAAAAATAAATTCCCAAACAGTGTACTTCAATATAAAATAAACATTTTTTCAATAAAGCTAAGACTTTTCTTTTAAAAAAAGATTTAAATGTGAACTTTCTTTTGAGACACCTTGTATGTTTAACGTGTGTTTCTGTGTGTCTTTTTTTATAGGAGAGGTGGCAAACGAGCATAGGGTCACCTGATGGTCAAGTGATTACCACCGCCGCCCATGAACAACTGCAACACCAGGGGAACTGCAGATGCGATTTTAAAAAGGGGTAGGCTCTTTTCTTGAAGATCCCTAAGTCGTATCGATCCAGAAAAATCTGGTGGTAGTCGATTCTACAAGGAAGTTATGCGAGAAAGAAAACTTCTTTTAAATCGCACAGAGGTGGATCGCCAAGTATCCAGATTGTATGGATGGTATCGCGAGTTTTGCCGCGGTTGTGCGATGGTGAAATTATGTGGCTGGAATTAGTCTGAACAATTCCTCAGGCACTCCCCGTGGTGGATGCGATAAAATATGCAAAGAAATGCAAGATCTCTTCGCTGCGCTAGTGAGTCAAGCCGAAGCGCGTTTCCCGCCAAAAAGAACACCCTTTGTCGTATCTCCTCAGTTTTTCAAGGCACTCCCCTTGTTACCTCATCCAGTATCGGAATCCCAGGCGTCGACATATCGAGTGAAGTGAAGTTTCGTGGTCACTTGGAAGAGAAGGCCAAATTGGCCTAGCCAGCGAAAGTTTTGTTATACAGTGTTGTAATCAGTAGTAGTTCATGGAAGTAGATAATGCGATAAAGTTGTTAAAAATACTTATTTATACATAAAACGAATTCAAATATTATAAATAAACTCGTAATGGTTTGACAACTTTATGACTCATGGGTACTATTACTTATTCTGTGCTAATGGGTAGGGCATTACAGTAGGCTAACGCGTAAATTTAAGTATTTGACGATTGATAAAAGGGAAATCGTTTTATGTAAGTGACAAATGTGTGCATAAGCTATGTGAAAATTTGCAAATGACTTACTGAATTCTATAAATTATAAACACTATGTAATCATTTGGAAAAAAGATTCTTGAATATTTTATTAAGGCCTGCCTATTAAGTATTTATAAATAATGTTCCTCTATATAGACTTCAAAAGTTGGACATTTTTCTGTTCTGGTCAGGACAGGGCAGATTTAAAAGACTATTAAAAACCCGCTTAAAAGAACACATAGCTTATGAGAAGAATCGATGCTCCGGGAAGTCTGTAGTCTCTGAATCGCCCCCGTCACTAAATCAGATTTGAATAGACCAAAAAAAGAAAGAACACCGATTCCTTTCAAGGATGATTCACGAGGCAGTAAAAAAAAACATCCTAATTTCAATAGAGAAGATGGCTTGATTCTACAATCAAGCCATCTTCTCAAAAAGCGACAGTAGCATAATGGCAGGGCGCGGACGGCGAACTCAAAAAGGTCGGGTTCGAATCCCCCATTCGACTACTGGCGTGAACCACTCGTAACCCAAGCAATTTAAGCTTACCACGAGTGGTTAAGGGGAATATTAGTAATGTTTATAGCATTGTTAATATTCTTTAAAAAAAGAAAAAAAAATCTGCTTAGGATCCTGTATTAAATAAAAATTCCAATCCAACCATACAACTGCAAGACTTCAAAATATTATAAGTTCATACTGCGTATATCGGTCCAAAAATTAAGAGCTTTATCTGAAGGTAGTCATGGTTAACAATGACTGAAAAGGACCAGGTCGGATTTCCCTCTTGATCCTGAAAAGGACCAATTGAAAAGGACCTAGCGGATCGGGTACTAAGAAACAGGAATCGAGGCTTCTCTCGATCCGGCCTCCTATCACGCCTACGTTGGGTTCGGGAACAACGTATGTGATCTCCGCAACGGAGTAACACACTAGGGCGATAACCTCTTCCTTTTCAGCAAGTAGGTTCAGACGGGGATTACGGGTCTTCCGAAGTCGTCCCGGTCCCGACGCCTTAATTCTTCGATGTGGACTGTATAACTTAAAGGATCTTGGGAATGAAACAGCAATTATCTTCAAACCGTTCCGTGAGAGAGTAATCACTTTTCCCTATACTGCTGGTTTTTCACTTTTCTTGAACTTTTTCCCGGATTTTCTTATTTATTTCCGAACTATTTCCTTGAATATTTCCCGAACGATTCCCGAACGATTCCCGAACGATTTACTTGAATATTTCCCGAACCATTCCCGAACGATTCCCGAACGAATTGCAATAAAATCAATTTACTATCCTACCCCTAAGCTAAACGCGAAAGTGAGCCGCGCCATCTGCGCGCTTGCGCAACTTAATTACATGAATTTGTACTATTACTCTCTCACGTTTCACTCAATATCTTTATTTATTCAAATCATATACAAATACAATTTATCAATATAGGTAGTACAAAACAATATCTACACCATGATATACATCATATCTTCATATCATAAAAAACCTTTTATTTATTAAACGAAAACTGCCTATTTTACTCACAAGTTCGAAATCGAAATTTCTTAAATATTTAACACAGAAAGTTAAAACAATGTTTCTCACTTGAATTTATACATAAGCTAACCAATACAATAGTTTAATTTACATTTTTTCTATTTATTTCACTATTTAAAACACTTTTAAATTTCTTATACAAAACTATCATTATTTCACTTATACACAAGAATTTTCACATGAAAATAACACAGAATTTACCTTTTTAGCACGTACAATTAACCTGAAATATTTTACAAGTAATTTTTACATAAATCACTGAATTACAAACATTTTAAATTTTTACATATTCGGCCTCCTAAGGGCGTGGCCAGCGTGCTTCCGTGTACTCACGCTATGTGAACAACTAACTTTGCACGGCTCTCGGCTATCAGAAAAAATTTAATTATGAAATACACCAATTTTGACCATATTAGGCAAATTAAATGCTTTTATACAATTTTCGAACTGTATGAAACTATCTTTA